AGAGAACCTGGATTCAATTCCCAGCACTCACATGGTGGATAACTGGTGGATAACAACTGTCCTTAACTCCAGTTCCAGGGGATCTGATGCTCTCTCTGACCTCTGAGGGCTTTTCATGACACAGGTACACTTACATACATGCAGACAAAACATGCATACACCTAAATAAAAAAAGAGTTGCTTTCTTTCTTAACAGGCATCTGTACTTTATGATCATCAGATATCTTGTGCAGGATATCAGAGAGGAATTCAAAGTTCACCACTGTCTAAGGCTGTTAATGTATGCTTTCTGACATACTTCCAGTGCTGCTGTCTCTCTTTCCCTTTTGGGGCCAGATGTCATTTTTCTGGTTTCCAGATATACTTAACATTGTAAAGTCAGAACCTACCAAGAAAAGTGACCAACATCCTAGAAGAAATGGATAAACTCACTGTCTGTACCTCAGGGGTGTTTCCTTTCAGCATCTTTCCCATTTCTCACCGGAAGAAACACTAGTTCTGATACAAGATGAACCCTAACACAGATTCACCTGCTTCACCATCTGTTGGGGAACCCTGCTGTTAAGGTTGGCTCCTTTCTCAGCAGGAGCTTCCTGCTTGACTTACCTGGAAAGTGCCGCCAAGCACGGATGCTTGGCCTCATTTAAAACATGACCTTTGGCATAGTTACCTGGAGTAAAAACTACCCCCAGGTGTTTCCTATATGATAGGAGCCTACTGCCACACGTAAATAAAGCATACTATGAGCACCTATCAGCTGAAGCTTTGGCTGCTGCCTCCACACTATATTTTCCCTGACCCCCAGGGTAGTTGGATGATAAGAGCCCATTGCCACATGTAAATAAAGCATACTATGAGCACCTATCAGCTGAGGCTTTGGCTGCTGCCTCCACACTATATTTTCCCTAACGTCCCACTGAATAAACGGGGCTGTTTCACTGAATCTGGAGCTGTTTCACTGAACCTGCCTCCCCGGAAGGGCTTTCTTCCTTCAGTGCTCACTGGCCATCCTGACCCCATTCATCGCTTCTGCTCCCTTTGTCCTTGTGGATTGGTGGCCAATGACCCACGAGGAGAGGGAGAGACCCCCACAACCATCTAGAGGGAATAAGACTGGAAAGCACCAGACCAACTTCTCATTCATTCAATAACTATTCCCCAAGGAACTACTACAAGACAGCTCAGATAGAATCCTATTCACCAGGCTTTTAAAGTCTCTATGCCAACAGCGGAGTGGCTGGGCAACCTCAGCCAAGGCAGTATTTGAGGTTATCAATCTTAGCTCTACCATTGGACATAGGGTAACCTCAAGAAAAGGTTTCATCTTGGAAAAGGAAAACATTCTGGTTTCCTCATACAGATTTTTGTGAGGTTATGCACCTAAATCAACTACTAGATAACATCAACAGTGCAAGACTAAAAAATTTTTATTTTCTTATATGTGTATATTTATTTTTGCACCTGCCTGTCTATATGTGCATTAAGTATGTGGGTACCCATAGAGGCCAGAAGAGGGCCCTTTGGATCCTTTGGAACTAGTACAGGTGGTTGTAAGCCACCCAGCGTTGGGTACTGGGAATGAAACCTAGGTCCTTTGCAAGAGCAGTAAAGTGCTCTTAACTGCCGAACCATTTCTCCAGTCCCATACTGCTAGACTCTTGAGAGTCAAAACTTTTAAATGTTCATTAAAAACACTATGAATTTTTTAAATGAGGATTAAACTGTACTACACAAAGAAACAACTGCAGAGCAATGAAGAACAGCTGTCTGATTAATCCCAGTCCATTACAAGAGTCATGATAGATGGAGAATGCAACTTTGATGACAAAAAAAAAAGGCAATGTGTACTAACGTCAGGGCAAAGAACTTAGCATGTTAACAGAATTCTAATTTAAGTAGTAAATGCCTATTCATTAGTGTGAGAAGCTGTAATAGAGACTATATACTTAAACACACGTACACACAAAGCTTTAATTTGGTATCATAATCTGAAAGAAAATTGGACTCAAAATTCTTTATGTCCAGTTAAATCTTGCTACCATCTGAAGAGATAGTGAAATGAAACTGAAATACTTACTTAAGATGTTCAGTTACTGTGCATTTCCATCTACAAACACAAAAATCCCAAAATAAATATACCATGCCAACTGAAATTCAGTCCATCCTCAATGCTTACCAAACATAAATTACTTATTTCTAGCTTATATAGAATAGTATTAAAACAGAAAATTAAAAATTAGTGACTGGATTCCGTTTAGAAGTATGGGAAAAGAAAGCAGTCCTTCACATATCAAGGTTTTTTTTGAGACAGGGTCTCCCTGTAGCCCGAGCTGGCCTGAACTCACTATGTAGACCAGACTGGCCTTGAACTCACACAGATCCACCTGCCTCTGCTTCCTGAGTTCTGGGACTAAAGAAAGGCATGCCCCACCATGCCTGCCTATTTTTACTATTTTTTAAAGAAGATTTTTTTTTTTTTTTTTTAAATTATGCTATATGTGTCTGTCTGTGTGGAGGTATGTGTATTTGAGTGCTGTTTCCCCGGGAGATCAGAGGTGTCAGATCCCCTTGGAACTGGATTACAAGTAGTTGTGAACTACCTGACATGGGTGCTGGGAATTGACAAGGGTCCTCTGGAAAAGCAGTATGTGCTGTTAACCGGTGAGCTATCTCTTTACCCTACATAAAATTACTGAGTTCACTTTTGGAGAAATGAAAGTATTTAAAGGGAAATGTTTTTAAGAGAATCCTTTCTACTCACTCAAAACTTCAAATAGTAACAAAGACTTAAATCAATGAAATTTGAATTTGGGAATAACATTAGAAAGTCTGGATTAAATAAAGATCACACTATTATAGGTATTTTTAAAAAACCCTTAAAAAATGATTACCATTATTGTCTGTGTACATGATGTATGTGATTGCAGCACACACATGCCACAGCGCTTGTGCAGTGGTCAAAGGACAACTTTTTGGGGTCAGTTCTCTCCTTCCACCATGGTTTCAGGGATCGAGTTCAGGCTGACAGGCTTGCATGGCAAGCACTTTTACCTGCTTCAGCTATCTTCTGGGCCCTATCTTGGTGATGCTGAGTATAGGAATTTCTTTATTTGGTACCTGTTTACTCAGTATGGCCTCAGGTGTTTAGGAGAGACATGAATTACTGGTTTTTATGACTTACTACATTTTCTCTCCCTACCCATTTCCTTTATGTTCCTGCAATATAGTTTCTGATCTCACTTTTTAAATGAATGCCTTGACAAAAAGAGGTGACTTTTTCCTAGTCAAAAATCAATGGCCTCTTTAATAGTTCCACATTTACTTATGGTACTTAATTTTTTTTTTTTTTTTTTTTTTTTGGTCTTTTTGAAACAGGGTCTCCCTGTAGTCCCAGCTGTCCTGGAACTTACTGGAGGAGACCAGGCTGGTCTCAAACTCACAGAGATCTGCCTGCCTCTGCCTCCCAAGTGCTGGGATTAAAGGCATGTGCTACCATGCCAGGCTATGGTACTTAGTTTTAGTGGTTACCCCAGCTCAGAGATATCCTTTTGGTTTTTGTGATCTTGCATTTATTGTTCTTAATTTCTTCTTTCTGCTGGGTGTGGTGGCGCACGCCTTTAATCCCGGCACTCAGGAGGAAGAGGCAGGATCTCTGTGAGATCAAGGTTAGCCTGGTCTACATATTAAGTTTGCCAGCTGCAGCTACAGGGAGACCCTGTCTCATATATATTTCTTTCTTTTTTTTTTGTCTTTTTGAGACAGGATCTGCCTGTAGCCCCAGCTGGCCTCAAACTCACAAAGATCTGTCTGCCTCTGCTTCCCAAGTGCTGGGATTAAAGGCATCCGTCACCACGCCTGGCCTATATTTCTTCTTTCTAACCAGGCCTAGGAGTACTGAGGTGCTCTGGAAACAAAATTTATAGTCACTTACTTGCAGGGTCAGGATGAACATGCCTGAATCATCAAACCAATAGTTTTTATTACAATGAAGAGAGTAAAAGTATTTTGCTCTCTATTTCACTTACTATTTTTCCATGGTAGAACATATGGCAGAGACTTGGGAACTCGCATGCCCGAAGCCAGGTTACTCTTATGCTCCATAACTATATTATTTGCAGGACTGAAAAAAAAAGAGGGAAGGATTTGATTATGTCAGGATAGCTGAATTCTTCGAGTAGGAGCACAAGGCAATCAAAAAGTGTCTTTAACTGGATGAGAACAACAATCTACATTCATCTGAAATGTAAGCATATTTCAACCAAAGCATTCCTGCAATTATAATGATTACCATTTCTCTGGAACATTTCCTATTCTATACAGGTATAAGATGGAGCTAACCATTTACATTTTCTAGAAACAGATAAACAGCAATGCCATTCACTGTTGGGTAGTATAAGATCATCAGTTCAATAAACATGAGAAAAGTAAAATACCATTCTACTTAGTAGCAATAAATCTCTTAATAACTGTTGTAAAATTACAGGTGCCACCAATAAAACTCAATTATCTTTTAAGTTTTCCCATGTTGCTGACAAAATAATGGGCACTGAAAATTATCTGACTTCAATAATGAAGAAATACAAAAATTAAGAAAAATGAAGTCTGGTATACCACTCTATTTTCTAACTCAGAAAATTTCATTTGCATTTGAAAAGTGATCTTCTAAGGTTTGAATGTTGTTGTAATGAGAAATTAGTTTTAAATTGGCTACAAAATATTGGTAGGAAGAAGAGCCATTTTCTTTCTTAGCCAACAGATACTCTGGATTTCCGAATCTTTTTTTTTTTTTAAAGTTGCTTTGGGAAGACTGAATTTACAAAGCATTTCATACAGAACATCTCAAACAAACAATCTTGCTCATCTTTATAACCCCATCCCCACTGGCACCCTCTCATAGCCCCCTGCCACTGGAGCCCACATACTGTCATCCCTGTTAAGGCCTACTTTCAAGACTTCTCAAATATGTTTTAACAAGTTATACTTTTTTTTTTGCTTTGGGGAGTATCAGTCTACTAATCATTTAAATGTTCACTGGTCAGAACACTGAGCAGACATAGCCTCTCTCCTCTCTGCCACCTATTGACACGTGTGACATGGCAGTCATACCCGCAATGCCTCTAGGATTACTGAATCTTAAAGAGTTTGCAGTATTTTTTTTTCAAGATTATTTATGTGTGTGTGTGTGTGTGTGTGTGTGTGTGTGTGTGTGTGTGTGTATGCGTATGTATTTCAGGGTGCTCATGAGGCCAGAACAGGGCATTGGATCCCTGAAGCTGGACTGATAGGTGGTATGAGCTGCCTAATGTGGGTGCTGGGAATCAAACTCCGGTCTTCTCTAAGAGCAGCAAGTGTTCTTAACTGTTAAGCCATCTATCTAACCTCCTTGTATCTGCTTTAAGGTCTTGCTGGCCTCAGAACTCTACCCCCCGCCCCCACATTAGCTATCTATATTAAAAATGATCTAAGAGGTATTGCTGGAGAACTTTTTTCAAAATCTTAAAACAATGCAAATCTAGCAAAAAAATAAATAAAACAAGAAGGTCTAATACTGTCTCCATCATTAGACTATAAGGTAATATTTTAACTTTCCTAGTGATCAGCACAAAGCCCATAAATTTTTTATGAATCAAAGAACAAATAAAGAACAAATCAAGGGTTGGAAGGATGGCTCAATGGTTAAGAGCACTTGCTGCTCTTGCAGAGGACCAGAATTTGGTTCCTAGCACCCATGTCCAGTAGCTCACAACTGCCTTAACTCTAGCTGCAGGAGATGTTCTGGCCTCCTCAGGTACAGTGCACAAACACCCAGTCATACACACACGCACATAAATAAAAAGAAATCAAATCTTAGAAAAAGTGCAAATAAGAAGAATCCTCACCAAACAATGTTTGCACAGTTACCACCAAAGATCATCAAGAGATGGAAGAGATAGCTCATTGGTTCAAAGTGTGTACTGCGCTTGCAGAGGACCCAAGTTCTGATCCTAGCACCCATGTCTACTAGCTCACAACTGCCTGTAACTAAGGATCTAATTAAGGATGTAACAGAAGATCTAATGACCTCTTCTGGCCTTCATGGGTACTGCCACTGTACCCATGGCATTCACTCAAACAGACATATACGCATAAATAAAATCAATCTTAAAAAAAAAAAAGAACATCAAGGAAAGATGGTGGCTTGCTTTTGTTTTTTTCTTGGTAACAGGACACTCAGATTTGAAGAGGCAGGGCTGACAGTCAGACAATATACTTTACCTATTGTTGCCGCTGAAGCGGGCTGTGCCCCAGACAAATGGAGTGCTAGTCTGTTCCCACAAATCTGCCAAAGGAAGCAAAACATTGTTTGTGCTAATACAAGATAAGACACCAATACATGTTCATTGAATTTGTAAGATGGGAAATAATACACCTAACTTTGCAGATGCAAGTAAAAATTGATTGAATACCCTGCCTAAGTGATACAGAAGCAGGAATTTAATTGAAGGATATAAACACAAGAGTCATAAATAATAATAAACGTGCCTAGTAACAATCGAGCACAGATGGTACAACACAATTTATGAGAAAAAACAGATGTAAAGAAGTGCTTTTTCCAATCAAGAGGGATAGGCTGTTCTGTGTGTCTGCACAGCGATACAAATGTGCTCATTTTGGGGCCCAATAAAGATAAGACGTTCCAAACAACATGCTATGTTCATAAAAAAGGAAAATCTTTCTTCTGACTTGAGCAAATGACTTGAGATTTAGACTCTGAAGAAATGTAGAGGCATTTCACCTTTGTCCCAGTCTTCATCACAAGGAGGGCACTGCCATGTGCTCTCAGCCAGAGTTTCTTGTCCAAGGTTCCTGGTTTGGTTGACTGAAAGACAACAGTATTTGCTATATAAGCAGGGAGAAGGGGACTGCCAAGTTATTGTGCTTTTAAAGGGTCAAAGCTTTAAAAGGCTGGAGGGGAGCCTACTAATGAGTCTTTGTTTCTAATAGTACGAAAGCTGACAGAAGATGGGGAAAAAGAAACAGGAACAAAGAGTTACCATACTCAAGGTAATAAAAGGATTATTTATTCATTGAGACAGAGTCTTATGTATCCCTAGCTATAAGAACAACCTTGGACTACTGATCCTGCCTCCACCTGCCAAGTGCTAGGATTATAGGAGAGTACTTTTTTTTTTTTTTTGTGCTGGAGCTAGAACCCAGGACTTCATGCATGCTAGGCAAGCACTCTTCCAACTGAGCTACATCCTCAGCCTCACGAATCTTATTTTTAAATGATTTATTATAATAGTAAAATGAATCAGGCTGTTCAGAAGAGAAATCAGTCTGGCCTATATAGAATCTAGCAACTTATTGCTACTATGACAGAAAAATCTCGAAGAAAACTCTTCTTTTGAAATGGTAAATCCAGAAAGCAAGCTGACAATGTAGCATATTTCAGATCTGAATGTGCTAACCTATAGTACTGAATGTTTTAGCTAGCCAGGCTTACCCACATCCTGCTCAATACAACTCTTGTCATCACAGCTTGAGATATGATGGCTGATTTCAGCCCGAGGAACCTGGTGCCGAGCATTGAAGGGACAAGTAGCCAATTTGTTTGCGACATCAGGATGATTCTGTGGAACCAAAATGAAGAGATCTGTCAGTTCTTCAGAGTTCTTAAAATCCAGAGACTAGGGGCTGGAGAGATGGCTCAGCACTGGCAGCTCTTGCAGAGGACCCGGGTTCGATTCCTAGCACCCACATGGTGGCTACGAACCATCCTTAACTCCAGTTCCAGGGCAATCTGACACCCTCTTCTGACCTCCGAGGCACTGCATGACACAGGTGTACTCACATACATGCAGGCAATACACTCATACACATTAAGTAAAAATAATAATAAAAAAAAATCCAGAGACTAGCTCAGCCTTATTCTACAAATGACTCTCCTGAAATTCTTCAACAAATTTATGGCTTAACTATGATAGGCACATTCATAGTAGAAAATTAAGAGGGAATTATTTATTGCCTATATAGACCACACCAGTATCATTTCAGTATTATCAAATGTAAATCTTTTGGTTAGGACTGTCAAGACTAAACACAAATCCTGGGATTTTAGGGGCTTCTGTGGAACAAAGCACTCCATTTGAGCTGTATCTTCTCCTTGTTTATTTCTCAGAGTCACAAGATTTAGATAGCACAGCCTGTAATGGCGGAGCTCTCGGGATGTCTCTGAAAGCTGATATTCAGGATGAACAGTGACATCCAAACACAGTCTGCACTGCACCAGTGCCCCTGCCATTGCAACACAACAGTGCTGGAAAATAGCTGTAGTAAGGGAGCTGCAGAGGAGACAAGACAGTGATTTTTCACATCAACACAGGGACACTTACTTAAAGTAATGATGCCTGAAATGAGGTTCGGAACAATTTGACTTTATCTCAGCTATTTCACTAAGGAAAAGCCCAAAGAACAGAGGCTAACTTTGTGGTCCAGTTTCTTGTTTCAACCCAAACAAAGGATTTATTATTATTTTTAAGACAGGGTCTTACTCTGTAGACCTTGCTGGCTTCATGCTCACTGTGATCCTCCTGTCTTTGCCTCTCAGGTGCTAGGGTTAAAGGCATGCACCACCATACGTGGCACAAAGGATATACTATCTCCAAAGTGTTACGGAAAATGTACCAGCAATTAAGAAATTTAAGAAAGGAAAGGGAAGGTCGGGAGAAATGACCTGTTACTCCTTCCAGAGGACCTGAGTTTGGTTCCCAGCACCCATGCTGCACAGCTCACAACTACCTTAACTCATCTAGAGGATCTGATGCCCTCTTCTGGTCTCTGTGAACACCCATATACATACATACATACATACAAACACACACACACACACACACACACACACACACACACACACACACACAAATACATACTTAAAAAAGTGGCAGCTGGTAGGATGGGTCAGTGGATAAAGGGGCTTACCGCCAAGCCTGACAACCTAGGTTTGATTTCCAGGACTCACATGGTAGAAAGAGAGGGCTGACTCCCATGGCCTTCACTGACTTTCACACACACTGTGGCACATATATACTTAGAAACACACACATACACATACACATACACAAATACACACACACAAATAATCATAAAATAAAAATAAGGCCAGGGTGGTGGTGCATGCCTTTGGTCCTAGCACTCAGGAGGTGGAGGCAGGCACATCTCTGTGAGATTGAGGCCAGTCTGGTCTACACAGCAAGTGCCAGGCCAGCTGGGGCTACAGGAAGACTGTCTCAAAAAGACCAAAAAAAAAAAAATTTTAGACAAAGATCTGTCACAAAAGTCAGAAAGTAAAAATAAGCTGGGTGTGGTGGCACATGGCTTTAATTCCATGTCCCAGGAGTCAGAGGCAGGCAGATCTCTGGGAGTCCCAGGCAAGCCTGGTCTATATAGTGAGTTTCAGGCCAATTGGGGCTATAGGGAGACCTTGTCTAAGGAAAAAAAAAAAAAAAAAAAGTAAAAATAGTGTGAAGTAGGAAGAGCCTGGAAAAACAGGATTGGGAAACTTGTAGCAGGAGCTGGAGAGATGGCTCAGTGGTTAAGAGTGCTTGTTGAACAATGAGTTTGGATCCCAGCCTCCAGTGACAAGCCTTGTGTGTCTCATATGCCTATAATCCCAGTGTTAGTAGGGGAGAGGGCAAAGGCCAGAGGATAGCTGGGGCTTATTGGCGGCCAGTCTACCTGAATAATGTGAGTTCCAGGTTCAGGGAGAGGCCCTGCCTCAAAGGAATAAGGCAGCGTGACAGAGGAGGACACTCAGTACTCTCCTTTGACTTCCTTGCATGTGTGCATGCATACACCTGCACATACACATGCATATGACACTACACCACACTCAAAGAAATCTGTCTCAGGTCCGTATAGTGCTACACACTTGTAATTCTAGCACTTGGGAGGTGGAGGCAGAAAATTTGGAATTGAAGGTCATCCTTGACTATATACCGAGTTGATGCCAACCTGGGCTACATGAGACCCTGTCTAGGAAAAAACAAAACAACTCCCTCCAACTCCAAACAAAAATGAAACTTGTGGCTCAGGCCTATAATCCCAGCTACAGAGGCTAAGGAAGGATGGAAAGTTTAAAATCTGCCC